TCTACGGCTGTGATATTGACATGTAGTTTATTATTAAATATATTCAGCACTTCGCTGTCTGTATTCTCAGCTTGCTTTTCGGGAATGCCATGAATAAGTAGACAGTTCCTTCGGCTGTACTGTTGTAGATTATCAAGATTATCCTCTAATTTCTCATACTGATCAATCAATTTCTTTTCCGACGATTGTAATTCCTTGATTTTCTCGTTGGCGCTGTTAATATCGAACGAAAGGCTGTGATATACGTTTTGGCTAATGTCTTCGGTGATTTCATGTGCAATTGAGCTTGACACTTTCTTCACAAAATTTTCATCTCCGGTTAACTTTTCAGCCAGTTTTTCAGCTATACCTGTAGATACTGCATCAGCGATTAGTTCAAGGAATGCTTTATCCTTTGAGATTAGATCGTATACTTGCTTTTTCAAATCAGGAGACTTTCCGCTTCTTGTTCGAGATTGATGCTCGTCCATCTTGAAATTAAGAGAACGTTCTTTCGTATTTTCAAATTTACACAAAGCGTAAACGAATTTTCGATATTCGTAGACGTATTTTCGAATGGAGAAGAGACTTTTAGATAGATATAGGCTATATCTATAAGTTATTACCACATATTTTAAAAGATTTGGTCGGAGCTCTGTAAAGCATGACCTACTCCAATGACCGCATGTTGTAAAGATCTTGTGCTGAATTGCGATGGTTATTTAATTTCCTTTATCCTTTTTGCGAAACACATAATGAAAACAGTTATGGTAGGATTCGAACCATCGTTTTACCACTTGGGAAACCATCATCTTCGCCACTAGACTAGGAGATCTTGTGCTGAACGGCTACGGTTATTTAATTTACTTTATCCTTTCACGAAGTTCATAATATAACTGATGAAAAACGGTTATGGTAGGATTCGAACCATCAATTTACCACGTGGGAGAGCATTGTCTTCGCCACAACACTACAAGATCTTGTGCGGAATGACTGTGGTTATTTAATTTACTTTATCCTGTTCATGAAATTCATAATGAAAAACGGTTAAGGTAGGATTCGAATCATCGATTTACCACTTGAGAGACCACTGTCTTCGCCACAACACTACAAGATCTTGTGCGGAACGGTTGTGGTTATTTCATTTTCTTTATCCTGTTCACAAAATTCATAATGAAAAACGGTTAAGGATAGGATTCGAACCATCGATTTACCACTTGAGAGACCATTGTTTTCGCCACAACACTTCAAGATCTTGTGCTGAACGGCTGTGCTGATTTATTCAGGATTTGAACCATCGACTGTATGCATGCCAGATCACCGTCTTCTCCACTACACCACCACTTCTTAATCCTTTTTTGGAAGTTTTATATTACTTGGAATCTTTTTAGTAAGATCCCATAAGTTAGTTATGTGTGGCCGAAGTGAACCTAATGGTTACGGTGCGATTTTCGCTTAGCCTTGTTCCGTCCTTGACCGTGCTGATATTTACAAACTCGTCTGATTTATCCGTCTAAATGCATGCGAATTTAGATGAGTTTCTCGTCTCGACGGGATTCCCGTGCAAACTTACCCGTCAAAGTTAGACGGGAAAATTCGGAGGATAAACCCGTTTCTGATTCACATCAGACTTTTTGATTCAAGGCTAGTGTCCACTCAGGAGAAATCTCTTTGGATCGGACAGGACAGGAAAGTCTCCTTTGTTTGATCGCCGCCTGAGAACTCACCAACAAAGGAAATTTTCCTGTCCGTTCCTATCCAAAGAAGATTTTTCCTGAGTGGAAACTAGCCTGCAGTCTTCTGATTCACATCAGACCGCTTTGAAAACACTTTTCCCATGGAAGATTCGAACCATCAACCTCCCAGTTGCGAGGCCTTTGTCGTCACCCCTAGACTATTCGCCCCACGGATAATGGACGCTGTTTCTTATTTTACTTAAAACTTTTTTATGGCCATCGACTTAATACGCGCGCCAAATCAAAACTCACAGCGCAACGGGCGTGTTTGCAAGAGGAGTAATTACTATATATGACATTAGTTAATGTAGTGATTGTGGGGTTATTACTCATTCACTGCGACTGCGCGGGATTGCTAAATACTTAATTTGAGTTTTTATCGTTTGGCAATAGCGTTTAAGTGTATTTAATAAACGTAAAGTGTCCTTTTTCACTAACTGCATTTAATGAAAGCTAAACAGGTTGATTTAATTAGGAAATGAAGTGATAAAAGAACATTTAAATTTTGTTAACTTCATCGAATAGTGCACGATCACCACTTGCACACAACACATGTGTGGATGATTAAAGATAGCTGCAAATATGCTAATTATAGCATAACAAAGAAAGTGCAATAATGTACAAGGAAAAATGAGGTTTTTTACGCCAATTTCGTCTACACAGGCCAGAACCAGCGTCTGTGGATTTACCACTTGCATCTCTTAACCACTACATGATCATGGCAGCTCTTGAAATACTTACATTTTTTGGTACACTTACACATATCTCCCGGCACTTCCATGCAATAAGTACATCGAATACTGCTTTTTTTTCACGCCAACTTCTTCTCTTGACATTTCACAGGCTGGAACCACCAATCACTCACTTGTGTTAACCACAACACCATCACGAGTCACGACGGCTCATGAAATCCAAACATCTTTTGGCACATTTAAAACTTTTTTCGAACACTTCCACCCAATAATTCAAACAACTTTTTTTTTCCTCTTGAATGCATCCTCATCATCATCATCAAATGCTCCCATTTGAGGATGATGATGAGGATGCATTCAAGCGCTCAACACAACATCCAAGACCGCAAGGATATGAATAAAAACCATCAAAGGCTTACTATATGTGACATCACTCTATGTGGTGATTGTGGGGTTATTACTCATTCACTGCGACTGCGCGTGTTTTCTTAATACTTATTTTGAGTTTTTATCGTTTTGCAATAGCGTTGAAGTATATTTAATAAACGTAAAGTAACCTTTTTCACTTACTGCATTTAATGAAAGCTAAACATATTGATTTCATTAGGAAATAAAGTGATTAAAGGACATTCAAAATTTTTTTAATTTCATCGAATAGTGCACGATCACCACCTGCACACAACACATGTGTGGATAATTAAAGATAGCTGCAAATTTCTAATTAGCATAACAAAGAAAGTGCAATAATGTACAACGAAAAATGAGTTTTTTTCACGCCAATTTCTTCTCTTGACACTCCACAGGCCAGAACCAGGGTCTGTGGAATTACCACTTGCCATCTCTTAACCACTACATGATCATGGCTGCCCTTGAAATATTTACATTTTTTGGCACACTTAAACATATTCAAAACATCAGGGAATTTTTATATACCTCAGTGGTATTTCCAAATGGCAAAAATTTAGCCACGCCAGAATTCGTTTTTTAAAATTTCTGAATTCATATTTTTATTACAGTTATTAGCCCGCGGGATCGTCTCATTAATAGCTATTATTATTTATTTAAAAGAATTCACAGTCTGTGATTGGCTAATAGCCATGTGTGAAATCGTCATATCCATCGTGTGACGTCATAACGTGTGATACGACTTTTTTTAGTGTGATAAATAGATAGAATAAATAGTCGTATCCCACGTTTGACGTCACACGAATGGCGAAGACATCAACACAATGGCTTCCTCAAGTGAAAGGTTCGGCAACTTTGAGGAATACATGTTCGTTCTTTTAAATAAATAATAAAACATTTATTGAATTCGGTTTTCACATGATATGAAGAATTATCAAGTCTCAGTTTGTCACTATCAACAAACTGACAAACTTCGGCTTGATAATTCTTCATATCATGTTCAACCTCATTCAATAATTGCTAAATATTGCTAATATACAGTCTGAATAACTTTTAGGGATGGACTTTCAGCGCGGCAAAAAACGTTTAAAACTTTAAAGCCTTGAAATGTCCCCAACCATTTCAAAAATTGGCCCTTTGACTTCGGGATGGAAATTTCGTACCCCACGAGATGTCTCCTCGCGACTCGCGTGGATTCATAATGGCTGCTCGGCGCTTCGATTTTTGTTTATTCGATATTTTCTACCATTTTATATCGTAACTTGTTTTTAAACTTCACCCGCAGTATTTGTTCAAACAATGCCGAGTCGAAGACACTCACACGGAAGCTCATGACAACAGCGACCACAGCCGGCCCAAGTAGGGCCGAAAGCTCGAGCGGAGATACTCTGATAAAGTAACATCTGATAAAACTTTGAAAGAAGCAGCGAAATAGCAGCGATATTATAAAATAGGACCAGAATCTACATTTATTAAATATATTCTTACCCCAATTCAATCTAAACTTAATCGAACAGCATAGAAACAACGGTTTATTTGTTCCTCCTGGAGGAATTGCCGTATCATGCGAGGGAAATCGAATCGCGCATCGGAAAATTAGCCAAAGGTGTGCACCACAACTCTTGGGAGATAAAACTGGGACGTAGATAAATACAGTTACATACACATTTTAAATTCGAGAATGTTTCGCGCCATTTCAGACTTGCGACGACGAAAAATAAAAAAAAACAAAAAAAAACAACAAAACAAAACCGGGGCGAATTTTCAACTCCATCGCTGACGCCGGAGTAAAAAGACCATGGCATTTTAAGACTCCGCTGCGCATACGCAGGCGGAGTAATAACCATGTTTTTAGCAGGGCGCTGTAAAACACAGGCGTGGAAACGCGCTCATTATGACCTGATCTATGTGTGATGCACTCGAGGACTGGATCTAGCGATCTAGCCGCCATGATTTCGCTTGACTTCTTGCTTTTCTTGTTAAACGCGCGCTAAATCCAGTCCTCGAGTGCATCACACATAGATCAGGTCATAATGAGCGCGTTTCCACGCCCGTGTTTTACAGCGCCCTGTTTTTAGTTACCACTAAAAAGTACCAATCGCACCAATAGAATGATTACGGAAAATTCCGGCCGTATCACGATCATGATACGATCACGTTACGTCACCCGCCCTTCGGCCGATGTTACATAAGTGGTCGTTCTCTTCACGAATGCAGCCGCCATATTTTGGAAACTGAATTGTCATAGACTTTGAAAAACGTTAAAATTGCGTTAAAAGGCAATCAGATTTCTTAAATAGAAACACGACTTTAAAAACGCATCGTATCCTCGTTTCTTCCCTATCATTTTTTTGGGCCTGTAAATAAAAATGGATGATAAAACTGGGTCTAAAGATTTAGATGCATGGATAGAGCAGCTAAATGATTGCAAACAATTATCAGAACCCATGGTGAAAACGCTTTGTGAAAAGGTAGGCTGAATCGTTCTTCGTCCGCTTTTTGAGGAAATTTCTGTTGTGTAATCATTTCTGAACCTTTCTTTGCATTTGAATATTACGGTTTAAAGGAGAAGATTGCAATTTTTAAGGCGTTTTAAAGTGTTGTATATTTTTGTCTTCCGCCATGTTGTGCGGTTGTTGTCGCGTCTGTAGCGACGAACATGTATTAAAATACGAAATTAAAAGCTTTCTCGTCAATTTGCTGCGTATTCGGTGAAAAATCTTAGAAAATATAAACTTTTACATATAAAAAGAAGACGTCCTAAATGAATTTCAGCTTAAATACTTTTTTGTAAGCTATTCCGCCTTTCCCACCGCGCGTAGCTTCGATCGGCAGTGCCAGTGGACATATGTTCTTCATTGTTTAAGAGGCGATTTATTTTGAAAAAGGTTTATTATCTGAGCAGTTTTGTGGGAACCGCTTTATAGATTTGATGCTATTTGTTTATATGTATTGCTAACATTTTATATTTACGTCCTATTTTTCCTGTCATATTGTTGTATTAATTTTGTTGTCTGTGATTGCCCAATAATTGCACTGTGCACAAGATATATTGAAACTAATCGACCTGGGGCGAAGATACAAGTAGTTGTACTTGATTATCACTCAATTCTGTATACACACAATAGCATACCCTGGATATAAATTGTATAGTACAATGGATGACTTGCATAATAGACCAACTTGTGAACATGGTTACAAGGAAATACACCACCAAAGCTAGATAGAGCATACTGAAATTAGTATGATTGCCTAGTTTGGCTGTAAAATATCAAGTTGTACAGAAAAAATGGCCATGTGAAGTAGGCGTTTTTTGTATACTTTTGTATTACAGGTGGAAGTGTGTAACTAATTTAGTAACACTTTTCTGGCCATAATACAAAAGTATACAAAATTTGCCAACTTCGCTTGGCCATATCTTTGGTACTTCGCAACCAAACTTTACGTTTATGCTCTTTCTGTCTATTATGCAATTCATCCATTGCATTGTGTGAATTGGCCTATATGGTTAGGTTGCATTTTGGGCAGTTTTGTTATGGGTTTAGATTCCCATAGGGTGTGTGATTGGTCAGTGATCCTCAGTTGGTTGTGTTCTCAATGATTAAAACCTATCACAACTACCTTCGGGTGGAGTTGAGATTAACTATGATAGAATTCTGCAATAATGAGAGTTCACACCAACAACAGGCTTCACTTTTATTACCTTTATGATTCAGGTCATGCAATATTGACAATTAAACATCTTGTACCTTCATTACTTTACCATTAAGTCACACAGTATTGACAATGATATTTCTTCCACCCTCATTACCTTGCCATCAAGGTGACTACACAATTAAGACTTATTGACTGATCCCAAGAGAAACATCATGTGGCCGAGGGAAACATAGTGATCGAAGGTCCACAATTGAACATGATGTTTCCCGAGGAGATCAGTCAATAAGTGTTTTATTCTATAGCAAGTCTCAAAGGAAACAACTGGTGAAAATATGTGACAAAAATATAGGCAGAGAAACTTTTCATTTCAAAAAGAATTTGGCTAAGGTTCCTATATTGCATGATGTGATTTGCATCACAACTTCCAGTTTTATTATAACCTCCGGTGGTTAAAAGTTTTAACCCCCTATCAAACTGATGTTCAAACCTGACAAACAAGATTTTTGGGTAAACATTCAGATTTTCCGCCTTTCACATGACATAGTTTTAACCAATCAGATTCTGGAACATAACTGAACACTGGATGAACTTTGAAACTTGCTATATAACAATATACAATTACTTAATGGTTTCCGTGTTGGGATAGCCTGATCCAAACACACAGGAATGTTGCAAGAGTTAAGAAAAGCGCTTAACTATGATGTTGACTATTCAACATTCACAAATGAATATATATTCTTTTTGATGTTAGGCTAAAGAAATTTTGTCAAAAGAATCAAATGTACAGGAAATGAAGTGCCCAGTAACAGTTTGTGGAGATGTCCATGGACAATTTCATGATCTAATGGAACTATTTCGTATTGGTGGGAAATCACCTGACACAAATTATCTTTTCATGGGGGATTATGTTGATCGAGGCTACTACTCAGTGGAAACTGTCACACTATTGGTTACATTGAAGGTATGTGCTAGGTTTTGACTTAAACTATTGAACTTTTTATATATTTGAGTTATAACATTTATAATGGTAATGCACTGAGTGAAGTGCAATTTGGTGTGAAATCAAACGCGTGATTACAAAATCGCAAAAGTTTGATTTCAGGCCAAAATTGCACCACACGAAGTGCAATTTCCACTTTATTATATTCATTTTGAAATCGTACAAAAAAGTAAACAAACTCAAAACAATTTATTGGCTGAAAGAACCGAAAACGGTGTAAAATGTGAGTAATTTTCATCTATTTTGTCAAGAAATTTTGCAGGGCATTTAAAAATACAAAATAGTAAAATGGTGTGCCATTTTCCCTTGTAATTTGATTTGATAGTTACACTGAAATACTAAATCTGATCAATTGGTTATTGTGGTGCACAACTTCAATCTTATTGGCTTATAAATGATGTGATTAATGCTCAAAAATAGTGCAATTTGGGAATTAATCGCACTAATTTTAATCAATCAGATTGCAAGAAACACCATTGATTTCAAAATGAATATAATAAATGTAATAATTACTTTTGAGAATTCTAACACTATTATTGTTTCCAAAAAATTTAGAATTAGAAACCTCTAGATTCTATTTATCTAATCGGATCCACTTTATATTGTAGTTGCCACTGTATTTATTTAAATTTATTTTCGTCGAGCCAGTGCAGTGCACTGTGCAAGGGTACTAATTCCATCCAGAGATTAGGAATTACACCCGGGTATTGTGACAGAACATAGCGGAATCCAAAGTTCGCAAAATTTTGGATGGTTTTGTTAGTTATGCGCATGCGCAAAATTTAAATGAGTGGAAACCATTAATTAGCAACTTTCTGATGGGCTGAATCAGAAATTTGTATTTCAATAATAACATCTGCAATTCAACGCCAAATTCACAAACTTCTTTATAAAACTGTTTTTAAAAATTACACCAAATGAAATAGGAAAAATAAAAACAGATCAAATGAAAATCATCAAGAAACTTTTGTCAAAAACAAAAGGGGTTGCTCTTCAAGATTGAAAAGCGAAAAAGGAACAATTTATACTCTATATAAAGCTTTAAAATATTTTAAATCGGTATGTGTCTATAGTATAGTTGTTTATACTCTTCTGTGTTTGCTGTATGAAGAAGGATGATCATTTTGAAATCAATGGTGTTTCTTGCAATATGATTGGTTAAAAATAGTGTGATTAATTCCAAAAATCGCACTATTTTTGAGCATTAATCACATAAATTATAAGCCAATAAGATTGAAGTTCTGCACCACAATAACCAATCAGATTTAGTATTTCAGTGTAACTATCCAATCAAATTACAGGGGGGGAATGGCACAACATTTTATATTTTGAATTTTTAAATGCCCTGCAAAATTTCTTGGCAAAAATAGATGAAAATTACTCGCATTTTACACCGTTCACGGTTCTTTCAGCCAATAAATCATTTTGAATTTGTTTAATTTTTTGTATGATTTCAAAATGAATATAATATATTGGAAATTGCACTTTGTGTCGTGCAATTTTTGCGTGAAATCAAATTTGTGATTTGCACTCCACTCAGTGCAATTACCATTATTTATATGAGCATGATACGTCATTTTCCAAAGTCATCTTGGGCTATGAAAGGCTTTTACACCATTCTTCATAACTTCAAAAAGGGTTTTTTAAAATGTAAATTTATATTTTCATGTAAACTATCTCTCTTCAAGAATTGAAAAAGATTTGAGGCTCTGTACTTGATGCTTTTTTGTACTGTCTTTATGGAAATTTTGTACTGTTTGAATGCTTTTCCAAAGCCTCAAATGTTGAAATTTTAACAGTTACAAAGATTGTAGTGTCTATAAATGCCTGTAAAAAACAGGTCACATCACCTTCAATGTACCTTGGCCGTTGAGTAAAGCTAATCTAGGCCCAGGAGATTATTTTCTTGGTTGAGATGACGAGGGGTGCTGCGTGCATGTATTTCTAGTTTAAATTTTAGAACCTCTATATTTTATTTAAATAATCACACTTGCCTATTAATTACCTCAGCTAAGTTATTTCTAGAATAAGTTCTAAAATTTTCCACCAAATTACCCATTTCGATGAATGTGCCAACACAGTTGACCCCAATTACAGTCAAATTTTGATCACTGGACACAATTTGTGCATGTGATTAGAACTCTAAAATAAGAATAAAAGTAGTCTGGGAGATGCATTGCTCTAGATCTACATGGACCAGCATTATAATTTTCATTGGCTGACCTTTGAGCATAAGGGATCCATAATTCCCTCGTGTCCTGCTCTCGGCCTACATAAAGCTTCGCTGTATTTGGTTAGTTGGTCTGATTATAGTGAAGATCTGACTCTAGCATACAGCTACATGTACATTGATTACAACAAACTTTAAATACTGCAATCTTTAAAGTAAACATAAGGCTTGGAAGTAACCAATCATGGTGCAAGTGGTCACCAAAAGATAAGAAATTGAACTGAAACATTGACCTTGCCAATGAAGTATTGATGAAAAAATGCATCCATTCATCACCCAAATATTTAGTTCAATACATTTGCTGAAAAAATTATCAACCTCTACGTATTTAAATTAATATGGTAAAACGCCACTGGTAAAACTGGTTTTTCTCAGAAGGCACATTTGGTTCGGCACATCGGTTCTACGTTTGAAACCACGCCGTGCTTAGTCGTGCTTTGGTCGTTCCGCACAACCTGGCCACGAACTTAATGCTTAGGTCGAACTTAATTCAAACAGTCTAATCGTTTCACACGTCGAACTTTGATTAAAACTATTAAGTATGGAAAGTTCGACGTCTGAAACGGGCCTTAGGCACCAGCATGACAGAAAACAGGAAGTTGGTCAATTTTTCTAGTCTACTGATGTTGGTATGACATAATCATTATTTGTGTTTTAGAAGAGCATGGGCTGCGATCCTTGCTAGCAACCTCACTTGCGTAAAGTCGACTTCTTTTGTCTTCATTCTCCTGAATAAAATTTAGGTCCAACTTATACGAAGACGTTTTAACTGGAAAAGCTAATTCCACATAAAATTGATACAGAACATATTCCCTCTCTGTGAATGTTCTTTCTGTGCAGACAAAAAATAAGTCTGCAGTGTAAATATAATGCAGATTGCCTGTAATTTTTCTTCGGATTTGAACAGTTAACAGAGGTGGCCAGATTCTGAGGGACTGCCCGCCATTTGTTGTGGCTTTTTCATTATTGGGTTAGAGAGGTTCATAGCCACTAAGAGACCCTGTGTTATTGTCTTTCCTTTGTAGGTACGTTTTCCACACAGAATTACCATCCTTCGAGGCAACCACGAGAGCAGACAGATCACCCAAGTCTATGGTTTCTATGACGAATGTTTACGCAAATATGGCAACGCAAATGTCTGGAAATATTTCACGGATTTATTCGACTACCTTCCTCTCACCGCTCTTGTTGATGGACAGGTAGGATTTTCACCTTGTTTGATCATACAACGTGCATAGGTCCAAACGTTTAGGTTGGGACGATTTCATACATTGTTCACATCGTATTTTACGTGACTTTGCAGAAGGATTTAAAGGGGTGCACAGAAAATGTCTAAATTTTAAACAAACCCCTGTGTGTTTGGTAAAGCCTTTCAATTACAGTATATTTGCAGCTGCAAATCTGCAGCTGTTTTGGATTTTGAATGTCATTCTGAATCCATTGATTAGTAAGAATGAAAAACCAAACCTTGGCATTTGTAATTTAGGGCACCAGGTATACCGATTCGCATTTTAACTTATAATAAGTACATTGTAATAAACCTCCTGATGTGATGTACTTAATAAGACGCGGTGTGTGATCTAAATGTAGGACATCGTGCATATGACGTTCACGTAACAACGCCTAAATGATCGAGTCCAATTTTTGTAATGTTTTAGATATTTTGTCTTCACGGCGGTCTGTCGCCGTCTATCGATACCTTGGATCACATACGAGCTCTGGACAGGATACAGGAAGTTCCACATGAAGTACGTACTCGAGTTCTTTGTTTTTGCATGACTGTATATCCGTGGGAAAATTCAGTCGTGGACCCAAAGATTGGAAGTTAGTTTCCCCATAAGGAACCCACCTATACATGTTCCTAAGTGTGTGAAATTTACTATGTTAGGAATTTCAGGCTACACGCCCATGTCCTCTGAGGAAATTCCCACATATAACTCCCATGTCTATTGTTCTGATTTACAGTACTGCTCAATAATTGGTGACTACATTACTCCCCACGTGAATTTGATTTCGACTACTTTCCCCACTTAGTGCCATTCATTCAATATTTAAATAATACCGCCCACACATGTTATTCAAAATATGCGATATTGACAATGATACTGCCCTCCTCATGCCGTAGAAAATATGCTATGTTGACAATAACACTCCCTCAATTACCACTGGAATGTGAGATTATGTATGATCTTCAGAAGTATAAAATTTGGCGCATACCGCCCCTACTTATCGCTATAATAGTGTCCACTTCAACGCGATTTTTACTGTTGTGCCTCAATCAAAATTAAGTAGTTTGTACAGGCGATTAATATATTGACTGCATGTGATATTGCCCCTTCTCATTACACGCAGTGCAAGCCACGTCGATAGTGGTACTAATACTTACGCTTTTATTACATTTATCATACGCAATATGACAATGATACTTCTTCCACCTTCATTACTTACCATCAAGGTCACACAATGTTGACAATGATAGTTCTTCCACCTTCATTACTTTGCCATCAAGGTCACACAATGTTGACAATGATAGTTCTTCCACCTTCATTACTTTACCATCAAGTCACGCGATATTGACAATGGTACTTCTTCCACATTCATTACTTCACTATACAGTTACGCGCTGTTGACAATGATAGATCTTTCACATTAATTACTTTACCATCAAGGTCACGCAATGTTGACAATGATACTTCTTCCACATTCGTTACTTTACCATACAGTCACGCGTTGTTGACAATAATACTTCTACCACATTCATTACTTCACCATACAGTCACGCGTTGTTGACAATTATAGATCTTTCACATTAATTACTTTACCATCAAGGTCACGCGATGTTGACAATGATACTTCTTCCACATTCATTACTTCACCATACAGTCACGCGTTGTTGACAATTATAGATCTTTCACATTAATTACTTTACCATCAAGGTCACGCGTTGTTGACAATGATACTTCTTCCACATTCATTACTTCACCATACAGTCACGCGTTGTTGACAATTATAGATCTTTTACATTAATTACTTTACCATCAAGGTCACGCGATGTTGACAATGATACTTCTTCCACATTCATTACTTCACCATACAGTCACGCGTTGTTGACAATTATAGATCTTTCACATTAATTACTTTACCATCAAGGTCACGCGTTGTTGACAATGATACTTCTTCCACATTCATTACTTCACCATACAGTCACGCGATGTTGACAATGATACTTCTTCCACATTCATTACTTTACCATAAAGGTCACGCGTTGTTGACAATTATAGATCTTTCACATTAATTGCTTTACCATCAAGGTCACGCGTTGTTGACAATGATACTTCTTCCACATTCATTACTTCACCATACAGTCACGCGATGTTGACAATGATAGATCTTTCACATTCATTACTTTACCATAAAGGTCACGCAATACTGTTAACGATACTACCATCGTCTTTACTTATTACCAATGAGCCACGCAATATTGACTACGGTATACTTCTACTTACATTTCTTTATTATTTACCATTCCGGTCATGCGATATATACTATCGTATTCACCCCGCTTCTCATCCCATCCTTTTTTCACTGGGTCCAATGTGCGACCTCCTTTGGAGTGATCCTGATGAGGGGTGCTGCATGCATGTATTTCTAGTTTTAATTTTAGAACCTCTACATTTTATTTAAATAATCAGACTTGCCTATGAATTACCTCAGCTAAGTTGTTTCCAGATAAAGGTAGTCTGGGAGATGCATTGCTCTAGATCTACATCAACAAGCATTATAATTTTCATTGGCTGACCTTTGAGCATAAGGGATCCTTAATTCCCTCGTGTCCTGCTCTCGGCCTACATAAAGCTTTGCTGAATTTGGTTAGTTGGTCTGATTATAGTGAAGATCTGACTCTAGCATACAGCTACATGTACATTAAATATAGTAAACATAATGCTTGGAAGTAACCAATCATAAATACAGTTGGTACAGTTGGTTGGTGCAATTGGTCATCAAAAGATAAGAAATTGAACTCGTCACCCGATGTTGACAATGGTACTTCTTCCACATTCATTACTCTACCATCAAGGTCACGCGATGTTGACAATAATACTTCCACTACTTTACTATAACGTGACGCGATGTTGACAATGATACTTCTTCCACATGTGTTACTCTACCATCAAGGTCACGCGATGTTGACAATAATACTTCCACTACTTTACTATAACGTGACGCGATGTTGACAATGATACTTCTTCCACATGCGTCGTTACTCTACCATCAAGGTCACGCGATGTTGACAATAATACTTCTTCCACTACTTTACCATTAAGGTCACCGATATTGACAATGATACTATACTACCACTTACATAACCTTTCCATTCATAAAACTGCACGCGATATTGACAATACTTCTATCATTACTACTACCTTTTTTATCAGTGCACGCAATACTGATAACGATACTTCTTCCATCATATTTACTTATTACCAATGAGTCACGCGATATTAACTATGGTATACTTCTACTTACATTTCTTTATTATTCACCCCGCTTCTCATCCCATCCTTTTTTTACAGGGTCCAATGTGCGACCTCCTTTGGAGTGATCCTGATGACCGTGGTGGCTGGGGAATCTCGCCTCGTGGAGCAGGGTATACATTCGGCCAAGATATTTCAGAACAGTTTAATCATACAAATGGACTTACGCTTGTGTCCAGAGCCCATCAGCTGGTTATGGAGGTATGGAATGTGGAGATTACACAAATACAGTGACTTTTTCCCTTCAGCCTTTGAAAGCGGGAGTTCTTCCTAATATTCCAGAAAGACAACGTGATTCTGTTATACAGTAGAAAGGAAGCCCGAAATTTAATACAGATTACATACCATCCTTGAAACTTTAACAAATTATGGTTCCTTTTAATTGTTCCTAGGGTTATAACTGGTGTCACGATCGCAATGTGGTAACGATATTCAGCGCGCCAAATTACTGCTATCGTTGTGGTAATCAAGCCGCTATCATGGAACTGGATGATTCTCTAAAATATTCCTTGTAAGTTTAAATTCCCTTTTTTTCTTTCTCTCTCGGCAATAACTTGTAGTCATTCGTCCCTACGAGTGTGCAGGGACGGATATTTTAATGCTTCAGAGGCATGCGTAAAACTCAAAGAGACGCAAGAGGAATTAGGTTTGGCAAGATCATGCAACAAACCAAAATCAAGCATCCACCAGTAATTTGGCGTTTTTATGCAGATTCCGGTTGAGGGTTAAATGCTATCAAAGTATAAGAACGCACTTGTTCTGCGCCGTGTTTCATTTTCCGAGGATATATATATATATGTAAATACATTTGTATGTATGCCATGCGAATGTTAGTACCAAGAGTACAAAATTCACGGCTCGCATTTTTCATACGGTATAGAGATCAGTCACTACGCTAGCCAACCAGAGGCCTAACTCAGGGGCACCAAGATGGCGGCAAGTGCCCTCAACTACGGTCCAGGTTTGATTAGGGCACCGCTGGTTTAGTTTTAAAATGGCGGTTTTTTGAGCAGATATCAAGTCTTCCGCCTGGCATTCTCACAATTTTGTTAAGTTGTTCGGGATTATACTGGCTTTCTATGCTTTCATGGCGTAGCACTGTGTACTCTTTGCGCTTCTACAATGTGCAAACTTGCAAAAATTGATAGATTGTCGAGTCCCATCGAAAAAAGGCGAAATATACACATGTCAATTGATACAGTTAAAAAGTCGTACATGAAAAATGTTTTGTTCTCCCGAAAGCCTCGTTTTTTCTGACTGAGACATTGTCATAGTTGATATTTCATGGTCATGGAGGACAAAACTCGCATTCCCGAAGAAAAATACATCAACTAATCATGTGTTTTGTCATAAAGCAATTATAAGGAATAAACCGAGTCCGAGAAATTAGACAATATTCGGGCAGTAATTTACGTCACGAACGAGCTATTATTCACTATCTTAAACATTTACGTGCTAAAACGGAAAATGCTTTGTTCTCTCGAATGCCTCGTTTCTAACTGAGACATAGTTATAATTGATATTTCATGGAGAACAACGTTTATTCGAAGAAAAACTGATCGACTGATTATCTGTTTTGTCATAAAGCAATGACCAATGTGGAATACAACGAAAAATTAGACAATATTCGAGCAGCAATTAAATTTTAAACATCTACGGCACCTGTTAAAACATGAAAACATTTTTGGGACATACTTGTTCCTTCTTCGTGCATCTTCCTTTCGATTTTCCTCGCTCAATTCTTGTATTACATATAAACTGGAGAAGTCTTCACATTGTTGACAAAGTTTCGGCGCCATTTTGTTTTTCTGGCGGGAAACATTGCATATTTATTACTTATCCGAAGGCACGTGACCACAAATCAGCCAATCACAATTAGTATCAGCTTAAGCTTCATAACAACATATAAAAATAACGGTCCAAAGTGAAATTGAAGAAACGAGCATTAAAGCCAAACGTCTCTAGCTTTCTCACACCTCAACAACCTACTTACGCTAAAACGACGTTAAAAGGAAGAGAAGTACCTGTTCTTTTGCCATGTTTCCGCATAACAACGAGAAATCAGGCGCGTGACAAGAGCGTGCCAGTACGTACGTCAAGGGTTGTGTCGTTCACAAAACTTATCATGCTCGTGACCGGTGTGACGTCATTCAACGCTCACCTGATTCAAAAACTTGGTAATCCAAGTAATCCATGTTTTTTTTTCAAGATTCATGCAAAGTTAAGACTTGGGGGGTAAATTTTTCTTCCAAGAACTCTCAAGGTTATTCACGTGCCGGAATTCGTTATCCAGTGGTTTATGTCGACGGAAATACTATTCACGAGATTTTGTTCCTCTCTCTCATAATTATATCATTATACTCTTTTTTACAAATTCATGTCCCTACAAGAATTTGTTTTCATTTCAGCATCTCCAGGGATAAATTTTTAACGACTATTAGTATTATCTCATGCCAAGTTCAAACCTTGCGCACATCTCATGCGCCTGAATTTATTACACAATAGATATGGTGAACTTCAGCTAAATATTTTTTGGAGCATATTTTTTGTGCTAAAATAAAGCTTTATTGATACGAAAGTCCTCAATATGAATAAACCTGGACTGTGTGCATGCGGTAAAGTTATGAATTTAGTATACCAATATGGCGGTTATTTATGTTTTTCGTTTTGATGGCTTTCCAAGCGATATATTTATTGACCAATTCCCAGTGACTACATCTAGTCTGTGAAAACACTGAGCCGCACAGTCCGTTCATTTGTAACAATGATTTTATCAATTTTACAACGTAAAAGGGTTGAATTGGGCTCGGTTGATCAGAATATTTATTTTACCCATTCCAAAATAATGATATCGGAGTTGAGATTGTGGGTTAGGATTTAATTTGACTTAAGATAACATAAGTTTTTATTAGAATATAGAAATCCTGCCCGAAGTAACGACCAGGTTTGGATGACTCAATATGTCTGAACTTTTTCCAATTCTTTTTTAGCTTGCAATTTGACCCGGCGCCGAGACGAGGAGAACCACACGTCACTCGAAGAACCCCGGACTATTTCCTTTAACCCTCACTTTCCCCTAGGACTTGACGTAGAAGAAAACTAGCCCCACCTATTTCGGGCACTCTTAAAAAACAGAATTCGGACAATCAACTCGGTGATGACAAGCTAATTTCTTTCGGTGTTTCGCCATCTTATGATTTGACGATGACAAATACTGACGAGTGTTTTGACACAGCAAATGTTTCCTTAGGTTAAATAACGCTAAATATTTCCAGTTCAAATTAGGAGCGAAGCAAAGGTACCGATAATTAATGGCGAGTGAGGCATGAAATGCAGCGGGTTTTACAGTTTTGGAGACCGTTTTATGTGTGATTGAAACGCTGTGGCAGTATTAATTTAATTTGTTAGAACCTATAAAATTTTGTATGGGAGAGAAGACCCTTTATCAATTTTTCGCATCTCTCATTTCTTCAGATGTTTTTGACAGCAACGATCATAAATCATGTTCTAGTTAAATTAAATCGAAAAACTGTTCGACATCTGATCTTTTCATCACGAACAAAATCGCAACTGAAATCTGGAACAGCTTTTTAAACACCTAAAATATTCTTTTCCCAATTCAGGCAATTAACTGAACCAGTTCGTCTTCTAACGTCGCCAAGGGCACTATCAATGAGTTCGGAAATGAATGCAGAATAGCGGCAAATTATTGTTTTCTGTCAAAGTATTTAAGAACTAAGCGATGTGAATAATACTCGATAAAGGAGTTTTTCATATTCAAGTCCTTTCAAATGAGGTAAACTCATAGAAATAATATCTCTTATGAATTTAATAATATCTATTATTTCTATGGGTAAACTAAATAGACCTTTTTGATAATTACGTCACAAGACTGTTGTTTTACATTTAGAACCTCCTTTTAAAATTTCAAGTTTTACTCTCACATGTTTTGCAAAGATGCAAAACATCCTTCTTTAACACGTGTTTGAAAAAGAATTTTCCTTTTTGACAAATAAATATGGAAATCAGCCGTGACACGAGAACTGAGTGGTTCTAAATTTAAAACGATAATTTTGTGACGTATTATCAAAAAGGTCTATTCACATTCCCTTTGAATTGGCCAGATTTGTAGGCTACGGCTATTGGATCAACTAACTGGCAACATTTATGCGTTAGATACTTTATATTATATTGTAAATTGCGCAGCAACTTTGGTACGAATGCGGCGTCGCGCTATCCAGTCTATATTTGAGATCAGTTTTAAACATGCTAAAGGCGTTTCCTGGGGAGGTTTTTCTCGTCAACCATGTTGAGTGTGGGATAAAAGGTCTTAGTAAAGCTGTTGCTCAGCTTCCTCTAAAGGCTTCTTTAACGGTTTGTGTTTGCGGAGGAGGTTCAATCTTGTATCTTCTTTTTATGGTCTTCATATACGCTTCTCCTTTGCCTATCCCTCCCTTTGGTGCTTGTTGAAAATTTCTTTTTTTGCAATTTGCCATGATGAAAGAGATGGCGGCATATCGATCTTGAAGCATGCTGTGCTAAATCGACTTGACCACGAGAACGGTCCCAAAATTTTTGACATGACTTTTGACGAGTTTTGCTCCCCACAAGCATAACTCCTTTGAAGTGGATTGATAGCCTTAAATGGCTCGATTCGATATCAACATGCTTTTTCCCACAGTTAAAAATTTAAATTGACGAATTCACCTTCCTGACACTTGGTCAGAAGTTAGGAATTTTGACAATGATATCTGCCGCTGAGCTTAACAAAATGGGTGATTACACGTTGAAAGCAATTTAAAAATGGTTACCTTGGATTTATTTATTAGACTAATCTTCTATTGGTTGAACCAACAAAAACCTGGTTAAAATTTTGAAGTGTTTGTTTTAACAATCTCTTTTTACAGATTAAGGTGTACGAGTGGAGTTAGGCTGACGCCTAAACTTAACTTCTTTTAAACATGTACGATGTTTAAAAGTAGTTCAGTTCAAAAGTTCACGTTGATTTTAGCGGGCAACGTACCTTACTCTGGGTATAACCGCAATAACTCGTGTGCTTTGCCAGACATCGGTAGATCGGTGGCGTTCGTTATGAATCTGTCTTGGCATTTTAGGAATTGACCATAATGGTAACATTAATTGATGATGTATTACTCATATTGTTTGCTGTATCTGAAGCTATTCTCTCTCTATTTAGACTGATCATTCAAAGAAGTTTCCCCAACCAAACCTAGTGAATAGTTTCCATTTGAGCAATTATGTCTCCAAGAAATAATATAAACTTCCTAAACTGATTCAATCGTTCTATTCAGGCCGTTTTTGTGTTCGAGGTTTAAGTTTCAGAGTTATGAAGTCTCCATGCAATAAGCAATCCTTTGGCAATAATCCTAATTGGTAAAGCTGTGTTTATCAAGATTGCCTTGTCGGTTATGCCTTGACTGCATGTCCCAGTACAAAAGACTGTCAGTCTGTCTCCTATAATTTTGTTATGTCTTGTCTAAACATTATTTTCTTGGATTTTTGTTTCCATTCTTAATGTTGATTTGAAGTTGAACTGTAATTACTGAATCGTTTTAGATACACGGAGAGATCCATTATAAGTCTTAGGGCTAAAGGAAAACCAAGTAGATTTTATAGATTTTTTTTGCATCAAACAAGTCCTGGATGTTCATTTCACGAGGTCGAGGAAAGATACAAATTTGTTTCTATTTTGTATATATTTCCGGAGGAGTCTTGGGCGACCTTCCCATGCCAATTTTTCCTCTCCTTTTTTGCGCGCATGCAATCACAGTTGATGAAATCAAATTGCGATGTAAAATATTGAACGTAGGAGGCAGTAAAAGTGAGGCGCGGTCACTCGCCTCATCGAATTTTCTATTTTCCCCTCTACTAACTACATGAAATATATGTCGCAACTCGCAAGACTGATTGCGAGGCTTTGGGATTAGGGCTATATATAAGAAGGATTACGGAAAGAAGGTTAAGGGTGATAGTAGGGTTTATTGATATATTATTCTTTCTATCCTCAATTCTCGCACGATCAAATGTTCCTATACTTCCCAGCATTTCCGGCAACAAAGTTATTTCTCGAAACTAATCCGACTAATACGATCGATTTCATCTGAAGCTGTCAATAAACCCTGAGGTATTCTGGGTGTGTAAATTAAGTGTGTGGGCGAGCTTGCGCATTAGCGCATATCTCAACAAGACATATTGAAACCATAGCGCGCAATATGTTAATTTCCTCATGGGCTGACGCGATGATGTGAGCGCAGTTCGAATGATAGCGCAATCTCCGAGATCCCCACGTATATGTAAATATTTACAAAACGTGCTTGGTGCTCGTGTGTCTTGGCGTATCCCACGCCAGGTCCCATCGAAACGAACAGTTTGATTTATACATTCAAAAGGCTAATCCCAAAATTGTTCGCATGACAGTGGTCTGGTGATTGTACTCCAGACAGGCGTGCTATCCAATGCCATCTGACCTCATTTGAATTATCTGCGAAGTATCAGTATACCCTAACCTCAAGATAGTAATTGCATGAGAGAAACAACCTCGACATTAGTTTCCAGATATGGTTTATAGCTTTTTTCTGCTCGTGTTTGTATACATTTTTGTCATGCTTTACGACCATTGCGAATATGAAACGGTTCCCGTCGCCCAATGAGATGATAGCACCATGGACAAGGTTGATCAGGGTTCGTGGATCAGACAACTTAGGACTGATATTGAGCTATCCAATATATTATCGGATATATTTTAATGCATTTTCAATGTATGTTTCTCCCGTCTAACACTGGATCAATAGGAGTTGACCCTAATAAAACAGTGCGCTGATAAGAACAGATTAGAAACGATAGTGTTATCTAGTTCAATATCTTGTGTAACTATTTGCCATTATCGTGACGGAGCAAATGTGTGCGATGAAGGGCCTTTGAAAACGTTTCCCCTACTCAACAAGGCGCTGGTCAGTTTTCTTTGGGAATTAAAAGGAACCGTCGCGCGTAGGAAAGACAGAATATTTACACTTGTATAAAGTATGTAAACAACATTCCGAAGACACCATGTGGGCCTTATTAAAATTCCATGTTCGTCCGGCTGGGAGACGATGGATGTTTCCGGTGCGCGTGTAAACACTAAGGGAATTTTGTTCGCGCAAAATTCAACCGCGATATATGTCAGACAGTCAACAACGTACAGTCGTTTTTTGGAAGGCGTAAGATTGCTCATGAGATAGAATTTTTTAGAGCCTTAATTGGTAACTGGGAAAAAACTTCCCCTTTCTTGGCTTCCCAAGAAACCTTCGCGAGGTTTCGGAGGAATTTTGGAATGAGGAAGCATTTTGTGTTCTAAAATTATACTGTACATATTTACGCATGCACACATGTCGTTTCATTTGCGTAGGGATTGGTATAGCAAACATAATGACACGGATAGTCATAGCTATCGTGTTTTTTTTTGCATGGAAAGATCTTTGTTAGTGGTAAAACCGACGTGCAAAACGATGGAACAAGTCAACAACTTCTCATAAACAGGTTCCGCTATAGTAACCCACAAATGCATGGCAGTATTGTAAAGACTATAAATTTACTGCACTAAAGTGTAGGTTTATTAGATTGGGTTGGTTTTCTTGGGAATATTTCGAGGACAACAGCAAAATCTGTTCTCGTTTATTTACAACACTTGAATGCAGAACAGAGTCCATACGATTGAATGAAGTGTTGTTTCCCGCAACCGAAGTACTTCGGCCTACAATATAATACTTTCGATGTTCAGCTAGTTTGTTGTTGAAATATAACTATGTAAGATTCGGTATTGAACATGTGTTCGAGCTATGGAGCACATGTTCTCTTCGCTGGGAATTGATCCTTATCACCAGGAACATGAGGAATTGTGCATGAAACTACAGTATCGTATATATCCTTCATAATTATCAAGAACGAACTGGAAGGTCAAACGGACTATGCTCCATATCGATAATCCAATACTCACCTGGTGAATTTTGCAACACATAATCAGGTCGTTAACATGTCGCACCTAATCATTTCGACCACCTACACCTTCCCTACTGAAAAAAAAGAAAACCAATCTCGCATCATCGTACAATCTGTGGTAATTTTTGTTATACCGTAATACTCAGTACGCGGTTGTCGTTCTCGAAGTATGTGAACAGTTGAACATTTTCGATCATTCGAAAACAATCACAAAAGGCTCTAGTTTTCACGCTGTTGTTTCATGCGCGTTCTACAAAACGTACATGGAAATAAGTAAGTAAACACAGCACGTAGCGCGAATGTTTTGATTACTCTAATGAGTCTTAATTAGCACGCTTTGACCTTTCACCTCCAAAATCTTTCCTCTCGCTGTTCTTTCGCGGATTTAATTGGCCTCCAATCGTTCAATTTTGTTTGCTTTGCGTTATCATATCGCGGAACGAGGCCTGATGTTGTTTTCCTTCGCGTCAACGCGATCTTGCCGCTGAGATGAATGAGAGGGGGCAGGGAGGAGGGTTGGATTCAACTAGGAAGGCACCCCGCTTCATGAACACATTGGGCATGATAGAAAAATATGTATATGCATATAGCCTCGATAACGCGTATATGCATAGCGTCGTTAAAAAACTCGCCTTGCCATCATCATTTCAGATAGTTGTTTTTTTCTTATTCAAGTTCGTACATGTCTAAAATGGGATAATTTAACAGTACTTCAACGTGGAACAGTTCTAAAATGTCAGATGACTGATCTATCCAGACTATATATATATGTAATATTATTTCTATTTGAGTTTGGTTAAGTTATAGTTCTTTGTATCTTGCTCGCTGATCCAATGTCAGAGAGTATATGGTGAATCATGAAATGCTTGCGTGTTTTTCGTGTGACACTGGCCTCGAAGCGTCACAGGGTTGCAGGTCTTCCAGAGGTGACTATATAATAACGTATAGTAACGGAGTAACTTATATAAGTGGTCCGTTGTGTAAGCTATATATCTGTCCAGAGATATTTGAAGTCATTATATCTGTTTCCTCTTGTGGTAACACCGAAACTGACAACCGATTAAAAAAAAAGTGGCTCAAATAGAACTCCGGATCAGTCTGGATAGATTTTGCCCTTACGCTTAAAAGGTACGGTTTATCGTTCAGTTCACAGTCCCTTGACGTCAAATGGAGCTCCCCGAAGCTGTCAAGTATAATTGAGGTCTTGTTTGGGTTTAAAATATTTTGGGACACATTCTAGAGTGATTGATGATAATGGATTGAGCAACGCCCGTGATTCCAGAAATTCACTCACACTCCAGGCTGTGACACAGAGGTCACATGCATGTTGATCAAAGATATATAACTGGTTGTATATAGTACTCTGCATCGTCTACATGATCGTTTTAAGTTAAGGATATCCATCTGTTGTTGTTTTAAGCAGCTAATTCGAAAAAGGTGTCTTCTACAGACCTTGAACGCTAAATCTTATGAGAACAGGTCCAAGCATAACGGTTGAACATCGCAGATCACGATGAGTGAGATGTGTTTTTTTGAGAGATATTTACGTCTGGGAAATGTCCTAATTTAAACTTCTAAACCGATTGAATTGTGCTCCCAAAATGCTTGGCGCGCTCAGAATTAGTCTATATAAGGATTGATCACTTTGATGTGTGTACGAAAACTGACTTCCATCATTGAATGAACATTTTGCATGTCAGATTGAAATGCAATTAAACTATACTATAATAATAGCGTGTTGAAATCGGTGAAATGCCAATATTTTTATTGCAAGATGTTATAAAATGTGAAAAATACGGCCTTACAAGGTTTTCAAATCTCTTATACCTATAAATTCGTATTGCGTCCGGAAATGAACTTGTTACCATTTTTAGCCCGAAGGTGTTAATAGTGCCAGACAAATAAAACAACGCACGAAAGTGTACCTAACCTATTTGCAAACTTTGCCGAAAGCTACATTCTCTGCATTTCACAACATTTCACCGTCGAACTTTGCAATTTCGCTCATTTTGTCTCTAGTATATATACTCCAGAAAGACAGAATGCTGCATGTTCTAACGTGCGAAATGCCTATCGTGTATTAGTCGAATTGAAAAGTGTGCCGATAGAATTCGGTTATGAAAAAGCTCGAGGTTAGATCTGCAGCCTGCATGAAGCCGAACGGAGATTGGTATGAAACAAGCTTTGGTGTCTATTGTGAGCATCAACATTTTGCCCGTCATGTTGGCTTTTTGTCGGACCACACTGGCCATGTTGAATGGCCCCACTTGAATCTAATTAATCGTGCTGTTGTGGATGTCTGAAGAGGTTTTTAAACGTTTTTAGTCGTTGGTAGGCAGGGAAAAATACTTCCCAGATAATAGTTTATCTTCAGTGCCCTCTTATTTACCATCGATGACCTCTTTTAATTTTAAACATGCAACGGGTGATTATTAAACTGACCAATTTGGACAATTCAGCATCCTCATTCTGGCGTCATTATGCCGTGTTTAAAAGTTCTGAAAATATAAAATATTGAAAACTGCATTGATCAATTAAAGCACTATAGCTAAGGAAATCGAAAATATATTCGCTCTATAGCCTACTTACTTTGAAGCTAAGAGACTTAACTTAGTCAAGAATTTCACACGTTTATAAATCCGACCATTAATCGTTCATTAAGAAAATCCGGCTTCGAATATCGGGTCACTGAATTCAATAGAATGCGTTATCCAGACTTGTATTCATCTATCAGTGCGTTTGCCCAACTGCAAAGCTGACCCAGGCTGGTAGGCAAAAGTAGGGTCAAGAGTGTATTTAAAAAAAATCCCTAAGGGGGGGCTCTCTCATCTACAGTATACCTACAGTAGGGCAAGGCAAAAAATATGAAAAGAATGTTGAAATTTGCCAGAATAGCCATTTTTTAACAGGTGCGAATAGGAATGATATAGAAAAAGATTAATTTATGAAATCATATACTTGTTGGCGGATTATATAAGGATTACTTTCAAACATCGACATTCTGCAATCTTGCAGTATTCCGATATAGGGGCTGATACCTTAAACATGCTTGATACCCGACTTTGAATAAGGGGAGGCGGGCTTTCCTCCATTAAGCCCCCCTTTGCAGGGTATGGGGTTAACTGAAGGATGACGGTTGCCCCCTTAGAAATCGAAAGTACATGCTCTTGTACAGCCAAACGAACCTTCCAGCTAATCCCACTTGATTTCCGGAACGAAGCTATCGATCCAATCTCAAGTGGCCCTAGACATTTGCATTCCGTTTGATCAGGATTGATTGAGCGATACGAGGACCACGTGTGCGATGATGAACTTTGCTCTTCCCTTTCAATAACGTCCGCTAGAAAGTGAAAATGTGTCTGTGTTTACTGTTTACATTAATGATATCCGTGCATGGAATTGTCCGCATATTAGAGCATTCAGTATAGTCAGAGCCCGAACGCTCAATACGTTCGTGAGCACGCGACCGAAATCTCGATGCGAATAGTTTAAAAACGTCGAATGTGTCTCGTTGATGACGTCGTCGCAGATTTGTTGAATTTTATTTACGTGGGTCTGCTAAAACCCACCGGACAAATGGAATGACTGGAACATGTGCCCTTTGCTCTTCTAATGCGTTATACGATGATGATATATATTGGATCTCAGGTTTTTATTCGACTTACACCCACCGCGGAGTGGCTGACAATCACCGATATAAAAATTTCCCCAACCCCTCGTGTCACTTCGCATTCAACCAAAATCCTTTGCGCGCTCTGGTCAAACGAATCCATATCAGTCGAAACTTCAAAGGTTATATATAGTAGAGCAGGTCAGCAGGAATTTGATAATGGTTGCATTGCTGTCGAGAAATTGCCAGCGATTGCTCATTGCTGGAAGTATTTGAAGAGAATTTACATTGTGTAACAGTCGTGTATTTACATGAAAAGGTTTTAAAACGAATTGCATGCATACTTGTAACTCATTAGATCAATTGTATGCAATTTAAAGGTAGAGTGTGTTCACACCCTGTTACTTTTGAATGTTATATAAAAGAATAGTTCAAAACCAGATGAACTCAGCGAGTTCAGTTTACTCCTTTCACATTTTTGGCCATGGATGATACAAGAAACCCGCAGTTTAGAATTGAGAATCAAGACTCTGGTCAGTATATGATGTTAGTTTATAACTCATGTTTCGTTCTGTAAAGTTAAGTAAATTGTTGACCAGCAATGGATTAACGCTAAGTCCTAAAAGGATTTCATAATAACCATGCAGAGATATCCTCTGTATCGATGAAATCATGTTTCCTCGTGTTTAGTACCTTTCAGTAAAACGAGATAAATTGCTGCAGGAAAGTATAACGTCATTACATATAGCCATAGGTTTCCTCGTGTAGTAACACTGGATCTTATCAGTGTGTCAGATGTAACTCCTTTGGGACTGTAAATTCACCAGCGTAAATATAAGTTCGTGAACATCACTTGTTCAAACCGAAACACCAAAAAGCACATATCAACGAAGTTTTCTGTATAAATTTTTCTATTAACATTATGTACAATATTTGTCTGAGTAGAAAGACTCCACTAACAAACGCGCGCGATCCAAGCTTAAACTATATATGCATGCCTAGGGTATATGGTTATATGCTACGAGAACTTGACAGATTGCAAGTCTGTCGGCGTGGTCGGCTGTTCTCCTAACTTTGTTTCGTTTGTTTGCGATCCAGTAATGTTCAATTGTAGCGTCTCTTCTATCATAACTTGGCAAGAACTCAGGCATTCCTGTGAACATGAAAAAAGAACGTATAGTTTATACACGAAAGCAAGTTGGAGAATCCTAACGAGAGTTTACTTCGCAAGTTATTTTACCGACGCAGAGTGAGATGTACGCAGAGAGAGAGTACCAGCGCCATGGTTCCTGTCAAAATTTCACTAAATTAATTCGAGTTCGAATTCCCATCGCGCATCTTATAGGCTTCGCTTCTAAATTTGACCCACCGAACTCATCTCGCCGGACCCAAGAAGCCACCACACGAGAATGGGTAGACGGATTTTGCTCGAGGGGTGGTGGGTTCGAGAAGAATTCGATGTTTCCTGCACTTCGCGAAAAAATTTATACGTTTTAAGTAGTAGGAAATTATGAATATCTGAGTCCAAATATTTGATAGCAATTATATAGTAGCAGACAAAATATCGAAATCCTCGCTGCTTCGTGCCTATTGTTTTTTACGCACAACGCTTTTTGTCGCGGGGTGAGTGGTGCCATGTGTTGCGGGGCGCCAAGCACCCGGTCCTCCCCCGTAATAGAGTGACAAATAATTTCCCCAAAAGGAAATGAAACAAGGCCAACCCCTTTACTTAAAGAGCGCTTAAACACACCCACCACGAGATGGAACTATCTGAAATGGTATTGATAAGAGAAAGTTTAGGAAGCATGCTCTAATATGTACACTTGATATATTCTGCATGCGATCTCAAAATAAGAGATAGCTGTGCTAATAGCGAATGCTTGAGAGTCGAGTATACATATCAGTTTCGACAGCTACCGCAAGTTGTGAGCAATGCGGTCTCTTGATTTTTAATAACGTGTCACACTGGTCGGCAATCAAGTAGGAGACTTTATTTACAAATCAATATCACCGTACTTGTTCGATGCTAGTTATTTGGTGCATTGTTTCCAGCATAGCCTGCCTCGACGTTTGAACTTCGTGCTGAAATCCCGCCATAGCAGAGCAGACGGCTCCAGCCGCTATCATGCTCGGCGTATACAGGGCGAATCTAAAGTCTGAGAGGGAAGAATATATATATTATCAACACTGCATAAACAAACAAACAGTTGGTTTCCTCCGCGTTCAAATGCAATAAACCGCGAGTCTTGGCACCCCTTTCCTGCCCGTGTTAGTTTATTAACAAGGGCATGTAAGAAATTCCGCATTTTTGCTGCTAAAAAACCACTCTTCCAAGGAGTTTTTGTGTCTTGTGAGCATCATTCCAATCGATAAGACGGTTTAATTTAACGTTAAAAAAATAGAGAAAACTCCCTGGTGTTTAATGAATGAAATCCCGACGAATTAAACTATTTCCCGACGGGGAAATGCAATGAAAATATGAAAAAAAATATTTTGAAAAATTGTTTTGGCGCCTTAGCACATTAAAAATTCGGCATGGCATCTCTAATGACAGGGTTTGCTTTGAGGAGGAAATTCTGATCGGAAAATCTGAAACACGAGACTTTGAACGGGGAAGCAGGGATTTTTCTTATTTATTTCGCTAAAAATTTGAAAACAGAACTCACCAGTACAACACAGGGCAATAAACGTGGAAGCGTGCTTCCGTACGAGCGACTGTCTTTCTTGGTTCAACTCGTATGGCAACCTTACGAATAAGTGGTCGAGAAAATCGTGTGGTGTTATAGCTGAAATATCCCATTGAAGTTTGTCCAAAACGATCAATTCCCAACTCTAGAATGATTGAGAAAGCCCTTTTGTAAGATAACACGTTTTTGATAAAAAAATTAGCATCAAATATCAAAACTAATGGCATGTCGCCCTCCGAGAAAGAGCCTTAAAACGAAAGTTTTTTGTAGGATTGCAGTTTTTTCCTAGGCAGTCCTTTTTATCAATTTAATGATAAAAATAAGTGCTATTCTATTTACCATAAGTTCATCTAAGGTGATCGAGTTGTCCGTGTAAATAACGAGCTTCTCGGCAGACAGGGGTTTCGCTTCGCGGAGTTTACTTGCGAGAAACATACAGCTTGCACCGAGAAGCTGTAAACGGCTCTTTTTTATTTCTTGTACGCTAAGAAATCTGTCTAAATAGTTCATAGATAAGGGAAAGACCTCCTCTTGACATTGTTGTTCGTCGCATACCTAGAAAATATGAAAAATAAATATAAATAAATATTATTGAGCAACATTATTATAATACACAATCAATTGTTCGAGTTAGTTGCCGTTAAATTAATATTTTTTAATTATTTTAAGAAAAAAATATTGGCTCTGCGAGTTTATCCTACAATAGATAATATTGTAAATAAAATAATAATAATAACCTCAAGCATCCATGTTGCAACCATTTTTCGCATGTAAGGTTTGATATCTTTTTGCACGACTTTGAAGTAGCTGCCATTAGGCATATACCGTTCCTCGCTCGTGAGTAAATTGTTCAAAACACGATCGTCGTTTAGCAAAACGGGATCCTTATAGCTATGCCGAAGCCCAAATCCTTCTTGGCAATGTAAATCCATGGTCCAAATCGCCGAAGACGAATCGCTACCACGTTTTAAAGTCGTCGATATTTAAAATCCAACCTTTCCGGGTTGACGAGACTCGAAATGTGCGTTGTGTTGATGGTCTGTGTCGGGGCTCGAAGCGAGATCGCATGTATCGTTTGACCAAATTGGTCCTAAAATCCTGTGCCTCTACTCTTGACCCCTCACAGCCTCGATCTTCAACAGAATGAATCTATAAGTAGTTGATTATTGATAGAATTCTAGTGCAATTTGAGTAACTAGGCAGATTTTGACTTAACGCTAGGCAACCGAATTAATTTGGGTTAAAGTTATTTTATAGTTTCCGTTGTACGGACCAATCGCGTTGCGGGGCGGCGCCTTTGATTTGAAATACATCACCACCAGTACTATGGTTCGAAAGAAATTTGAAAAAATCCAAAGTTTTTTGGTGGTGTTAAAATCGGTCGTTCCGGATCGAAGAAACGCATCTCCCACCGTATTGGATGTCGATTCCTCGATTTCCGCCCAAAAACATTGATGTATTTGTTGTCAACGCGAAATAATTGATCGCCGTTTATTTGCTATGCCTGCAATGTGTGCAATTTCGCAAGTGAGCGTGACGATTTGGTGTGTTCTTTCCAGAACGCAAAAGGCCAAATGTCGAATGTCGTAATACGATATCGAGAATTATGTATATACCATGCGTGCTAGTTCTGACAGCAATTTCGGAACGAATGGCCGCACGCCGCTCAGGGGCAAACGAATTAAAAATATACGTGCTAACAGCATGATATTTCTCTGTGGTAGAGAGAGAACCTTGCACTAAACCCGACCTTTCCCAAATGTACCAAATATCTCGTTAGAATTTTTAGACAGGCTTGCTATTTTAATTGTCGGCTCGGGCTACGCGCAACGCTAGCGTGTGTCGTCATTAACACCTGGTCCACATTTCACTGGGAAAATTGCCTTATCTCTGATAGTAGATACATTTTTCGAATTAGATTCAGAAATTACATGGTGCCCTGATAACATTAACGAGTGTGTGAATGTTCTATAGAATTTTTACCATAATTACAAATGTGTGCACGGATGAATGGTTCTCGCCAAACATTTTGCTCTCTTACGGATCCTCTCGACGTATTTATCGATCGCAGCGCTATAGCTAAGGGTTCTGCATACAGCTGAATTCAAACGAAAACAGTTCCCCAAATATGAATTGTTGAGGGGCGTAATAACGGAAATCATTCCCCTCGTTCACGTTAATTTGTTTTGCCCGAAAGTATTTAGACAAATAGTAATATTACCTAGGATTAACTTTAAGTCGTGGAATGCTTAGGAACTAATGGCAAATGGTCATTAACTTGCACAATCTACCTCGATCCTGGTAAACACCATTAAAAAAAGAATAGAAATAAGCCCGCGTCTAATTCCTTACGCACTCATTAGAAGGCGTTGGAATTCCAAAACTTCGACATTCGACGTAAATATAGGCGAATGATCTATAGGATTTTGGCTTAAATTACCTCTTACCAACGTTTCCCCCCAGTTCAAAGTACCCCGTATGGTTGTATGTATTTCACCGCTATCTTTTATATATAAGGCCCGCTATATAGTCTCATATAATATACCCTCCAGCAAAATTTTTTAAAATGTCAAGTCACCGTGCCGGTCCGTATACAGAATGCATTTAACCGAAAGGGGGGGATTTTAACAAGATTTCGATGGGTTTAAATGGCGATGTAAGTGCGGCACATGGTATAGTCAAGTCCCCGAAGCAAATTAAAGACGGTTAATTATCGTGTTTGATTGCATGAATAAATTAGTTCCATCAATAGGAATTAGCTACTGACCCAGTCACCCAGAGTGGAAGTGAAGATAGCTGGAGTATACTTGTTATTAAACTCGAAGGTAACATTGGAACATGCACCATGCCCTGATGTGTGGTCTTTGTACGGTGTAATTCTTGATTGACCATTTCAAGGCTGTTCTGTACGGTCTAAATTTTCATTCACTACTTCAAGACCGATGTTTGTCATATATATGTGTACATAAACAATATATTGATACATTTCCTCGTAGCTGTGTGTAAAACGCACACGACAGCATGCAGCCCTTTTACATCATGCTAAGAGCGTTGGCTTTCCCCTCGTGCGAACACAAACAGGTGTATCTCTTTAACACCGAATTCAAACAGATCGGTCCTAAAATTAGCGTAAAATTTAAATACGAATGGGCGAGCCTTGAACCAATTTCCGTGCAGCTCAAGTGCCACAAACGCCCCTCCGTGAAGCGTATACACGGTTCAAGGTGAAATCACCGGAATGTCAAACTGTTATGGCGAAAGCAACGATGATAATGACCATATCAGTTCTAGTTTCCACTTCCCCGTTTTTTTTTCACTTTCCTGTTGTGTAAACCCTACTCACGCGGACGGATATATACACGTTTTCCTGGTGGGATTTGAGTTGGTCCACCGCAAATGTACTTCCCATTTACCATAGGAGGTTGTGCTGTTACAAGTATACCGCAAGAGTGTCGTGCTTGCGCATAAACTCGTCGCTAGCAAACCCACATTGGAATATATCGATAATAATCGTATAGTTGACCGGAGAAGTCCTATTTTATTTACTGAATGCGATTTTGGATCAAAATGTAATTGGAAATGTTCTTCCTCGCGCGTCCTGGACGGGATGACTTTTTTTAAAACAAGATAAGATTACGAAGTTTCTTACACTTGCAGCAACTACAGTAGTTCTTCAATTTAGGCAGCCACACTGCAAAATTACTTCAGCAGTCTTCATTCAAAAGTATCTCGTCTTCATGATGCTGACAAGTTGATACACTTTAAAATTCACCTCTTGAACCAACCGCTAGGTAGCTACAACTTTTCGTTGACGTTGCTCCCCACCTGCATGATTACAGAGCCTTCCTTCAAAAGGTTCAGCAGTACATATATATAATGAAGAAAATGAATCATTTTACCAACACTGAAACCGAATACAAATGCTTTGCTTTGGCTAGAAATATGAATTGGTCAATCGCGAGAAGCCATGCAAGCAGGATCTTCTCCGAAATACCCTTTCTTGCTGAACTGCATGCAATAACCATGCATGCAGTTATGCCTGAAATAAAAAGATGGTGGATCTTCAGGGTTTTCACATAAAAACTTAAAACTGCAACATTTAAATAATCCTTCAATGACGGAGTATGAGGTTTTTCCAGTCCGGCATGTATTGTAGATGAAGCCTGAATATGTTAAAAAGAACGTCTAGTCTCCTACGATCGATCTTAACAATTTTATGCTTGTCAGCCAGTGCCATGCAGTGGAAATTTACCTAACAGCATTGCCTTGTATGTTCTACGATTATATATATCAACTCTTTCAGCTTTGTTTAAACTGGCTTTATTCGCTAAATTCATCTATGTTTATATACAGAGATTCATGGCTGTGTATATTTATAGGTAATCCAAATTTGGGGAGCATGTCTTTCCGTGCCAATATTCGCTTGTATATATAGAGACCTTTATGTGTTTAGTCTTCTCGCGCAAACAAAGATCAAGCTTTTTTATTATTCAAATTGGCATGGTTTAATTTGTATCACTAACGATCAATATTGGCCCAACTTTTACGAATAATATTTTTCCACCTTCGACGTCAGTTGTGATTTTCAACCAATAACTTCCCCAAATGGTGGTGAATCTTCAGCGTAAGACTATTTGAGCATTACAATATGATTGGCAATTGCATGGGGAGGTTAATAGAGATAAGATACGCCTGTTTTCAGAGTACGATTTAGAATGCAACTGCCACAGAAAAACACAAACATCGATGGATATTCATTGAACAAAACAACGGCAAACTCACATATCCGATAAAAGAGAGCTTTAGCAGTAACTACAAATACAGTCATTTTCGCGCTAAACTCGGCGCTGCATGCTTGCTCACGCCATCTGTCGAAACTCATAGTCGGCTTTTTACTGCGCGGATTTGATGGTGCTTATATAAGCCTCACACGAAGATGACGTGTATTTGTAGTTACAGCTAAAGCTCGATACAGACCGACACTGGACTGACAATGAAGTTCATTCATTTTCGCGCCAAACTCCGCGTGCCGTTAGCCCACGTCATCTGAAGCATCTCGTGGTCGGCTTTTGACTCCATGAAATTGATCGGCAAACGCACTTTCTCAGCCAAACAGTGCACGAAAATGACGGATCTCGCCTGCTACGAGTCAGTGAACGCCATCATGCAAACCTTGTAGTCGTTGGGCTTTTCAGTATACTTCGGTTTTCTGATCAATTAGTCCCATTAGTCCGCTGTCGAATGCCGGAACCCTATAACAACTACAAGTTTCGCCAGATGGCGTAGGCAAACAGCATGCGGAGTGTGGCACGAAAATTACGAATTCCGTATCCACTGCTAAAATTCGCTTTTAGTAGGCGTTTCGGGTTAACTTTGGTACATTATCACATTTAATTTAGCTATCTTGTAATCGACGTGATCGTGCAGAAAAATATAAACAACTAATTCTGTTACGAAACATCCCAATTTCACCATGAATGCCCTATACGTATATACTCGCCCACCTAACCTACCCCCGTGTGCACTAAATACGCTTCTGAGAGAATGAATCGATGGACAGAAAGTTTAGTTTGAATATCTGTTCTGTCTCGGTTTCAGAAACCTTCTCAATTTTCCCACGCTAAAACGGAAGAAATCGCTCGTGCGAATTCAGCCATTCTATTGAAATTATAGGTAAGATTGAAAGAAAAATCGATAATTTAACAGTCAGACATGGCACTGCCGCGCAGGATTGCATTGTAAAAACCGAAAAACATGCTAAATTTAGAATTTTTTTTAAAACGAACATGCAGGGACCGGGCTAGCTGCCAGAATCTAGTTTCATGGAAATGTCATGAATACATGTGAATGTGATTGTGCAACTAAGCCTCAAAAATATAGCCGATCGATGGCGATGGAGCGTTTAAGCTAGGATTGGAGCAATGATCAGTCATTCCGGTTGCACATGCAGAAGTAGTTCTGGTTTAGTTTCATCGTTCAAAATGTCGAACTGATAGAAATCTGATTGTGATGTTTCTACCTAAAAGGTCGTGTAATCACTCTACGCTGTTTTTTTTCCTACACCCTGTTGAGGTTCAGCATGCATGCGTAAATTGAAAAAACTTCTGATTGATCTTAGCGTGGCATCTTTTTTAAATATATCAGTCTTC